TTTTAAGGACTAATAAACAATGCGTTTTCGGTACAAAGGAGATATGACGTATATATTTATATCGATAAAATATTATATTTTAATATCGCTATTGGCTGAGGGTTCCCATTCAATATCGAGTCTCGTTTCAAAAGCTTTCCGACGGAAAAAGTTGAGTAATCTAGTGGTACAATAAGGCAGAAATCTAAATCTTCCTATCACACAACTAATCATCAGCTAGTGGATTTCAGCAATCTCTTGTCCATTTCTGGTTGATTAGATTTAGTAATTTAGTCAGCAAAATCCATTTAATTTAAACATCTTTACTTGTTGCGTGATGCTTCATTTCATAGTTCAACAAAGTCACTTTTCAACTCCTTGTTACCGGAAATCTGTACCTGCTCTCTATGATATCGATACAGTATAGTATATCTGTAAGTCATTGCAAAAAATGCGAATATATATGAGCATCAGGAAGTCTGCAATCAATTCTAAAAGTAATACACTTTGAAACTTTTGCGATAAAAGGATATTGCGAACTGCATGCAGCCCGTCGGTTTCATACTCAGCATGAATTTAGGCTCAGAACTACGCTACTGCTGCTTAATCATAAAACTAATCATCAGCTAGTGAATGCATTTGGTTTTAAACACATTTACTTGTTGCATGATGCTTCATTTTGAGTTCACCGAAGTCTATTGCACGTTACCAGAAATCTGATCCTGCACTCAATGTTCTGTACATTACATAACTGCACTTTATTAGAAAAAATATGAATATAATCCTCATCATTCGGCAGTCAGTTATAAAAATAAAACATTTTGTTAACTTTTCCGAAAAAAGAATACTGCGAGCTGCATGCAGCCCGTCCGCTTCCAGTCACTGCTTTAAAGGATTAAAAATACTCAAACATAAACTTAGGCTCAAAACTGCGCAATTGCTGTTTACGGTTTTATGGTAAAAATGTCTTAATTAATGGCTGACTAATTCACTTTGCTAACTAAAGAGATATATATGAGAAATCGTGAAATATGTAAAATTAAACAGGTAAAAATTAAGCCAAAAATATCCTTCCGTAAAAACAAAGGTCAGCCTACTTGTGAAAATAACATAAATAACTTCAAATGTACAAAACGTTTCGGTTAGAGCAGACTGAAGGGTACCCCTTGTACTATCGCGAACCGCGAACTTGTTGTTTCATTTATCGCCAAGTTGTTTCATTTAGGGTAACCTGAGTAGTTGAATGTTATGGAAACCCTATTATGACGTAATCGGTTGCATGATTGCGGTAAATTTTGAATTATGGGATGTTTTGTAAGGGCTTGTAGTGAGTGTTGTTTTTGTTGTTTAGACGGTAAAATTGCTGAATGTAGTAAGATTAATTTGAAGTTTATGTACGATTTGGAACGAAAAGGGAAAAGAGCATTAATTGACTGTTGTGTAAATGAAGGTTTATTTAGTAGTCATTTTCCGGGCAGTCTGGAACTACGGAGGATATTTGTGATTCTTATTTTTGTAAATTTATGTGGCGATGCCGATATGCGGATTCGAGTTCAAATATTTTTAGGAAGTTTTTGGATGCTGTTAAGGAATTCTGTGTGCCACAGACTGAAGACGAAGAAATTTCTAAATAAGGTAAGTGGATATTTGCTTTATGTAGTGCTTAGGTGCATAAGAGGTTTTTATTTTATTTTATTTTATTTTGTTTATGCATAAGAGGTTTTTTTATTTGGCGCTAAAATCGCCGCTACACAAAATCAAAATAACAAGTCAAAGAATTGCACAAACTCGATATCCAGGCATCGGCAAAAATCGCCAGTTTTCGCCAAGTTACCAACTTTTACCAACTTTTCTTATTCTCTGCAAGGAAATTATGTCATACGATAGCAGAAGAAATAAATAATTACCTTATCAATCAGTGGATTTTAAAATAATAATTCCTTTAAATCAAGTTTAGGGATAGCGGAAAATAACATTTTCCATGCTTTTCATCAAATTTTTAAAATAGGTTGCTGACACAGCTGTGAAATTTCTCAGATAAATTGTAACATGTACTTAATTAATTTTTTTACACCACAACATGTGCTTAAATTTTTGCTTACATTGTAACATGTACTTTACAATCTTATAAGGTTATACTCTAATTATACCTGATATTATTAATAGATAATTTAGTTAGTCTGCCAGCAAAGACATGCAAAGGCATTGGTGTAAATACGATATTCCAAGTATTTTCAGATTTTAGTTACATGATGCCCGTATTTATATTATTTTAATTTTCATTAAAAACGAACAGGAGTAACGTACCATCCAATGTAAAAATGGAGCGAATTAATTAAATGATATGATTTAAATCTTATTCAAAGATTTGAAGATGCAGATTTTATTCATTTTTATTCGTACTTGTCAAAACACAAACAAGCTGAGTTACGAATTTTTGCATTCAGGATAATCATTTTGTTTGGGAATACATTTATATGTGAATACCCTCTTTTTTACAGTTGAAAATTAATAAGAAACTAACACGATTGACCGATTGAACCCAATCCAGAAGCATCTATAATCCGTGATGAAAATAATTTCTAATAATTTCTGTCCAAGGCTACAAACTTTATCCGAATTGAAACGCCATTGAGTGTCAAGCTCTAGTGAGAGATAAAGAAGTTTATTCATTCAAACAAATACGTATTTTTATTTATGCGTCAAAGAAAATTTTAATAAATAAAAGAAAGGGATTAAATTGTTATTATTTATCCTCAAGTTTTGTCCCAACTATAAATTTTCCCTGAAATTTAGAAAGTTTTCATAAAATGTTTATTTTTAGTTTAAATTAAAGAGAGTCTTTTCACGATTAATTAAACACGTTAGAAATATTTGAATGAAATGCCAGTCTAAAATTTTTAATATTTAATTCTCAGTATAATTGAATTATTGAGTATGACCAACAAAAATGTCTTACCAAACTTTAGATTGTGGAGCCATTAGGTTATTTTTAAAGCAGGAGTGATAAAAAAGAAAGCAACGCCCTCGTCAGGAATCAAATCACGGACCTCTGGAATACGAGCCCAGCGTGCTGACCACTACACTATGAAGGCATGCTAAGAAGGAGGGAGAAATATCTTATATATTCCCCCCCCCCCTTTTAAAGGGCGACTGGGGCTTTTAGGGGACCCAATCGCCAAACCCTGGATGTGGAGAATCAGCATCCACCACCCTTTTAGTTCGGGAGCCACCGTAGAGTCATTAGGTCATTTTTAAAGCAGGAGTAATGAAAAATGATCAATGCTCTCACCGGCAATCGAACCACCGACCTCTGTAATACGTCGCTCAGCGTGCTGACCACTACACTACGAAGGCATGCTAAGAAGGCGGGAGAAATACCTTATAAGATTTCAGATATAAAATAAGTATAACTTTGCGACATTATTATTATTATTGTTTATGTAGGCTTTGATAAATACTTAGTAAGCGAAATTTAAATTCATTTCTTATTTTGTTAATAAAATTTTTAACTTTATTTCACAAAAATTTAGCCCGGCAGCTGTTTACAGATCGCGTATTTAACGCACATAGAATCTGAGACCACTGAATTACAGCATTTTTTTTACTCCAGCTCCAAGTTACAAAAATTAAAATAATTAATAGGAGCTTTTCATCCGCTTCTTGCGGCTTGAGAATACAGCAGTTCTTCAATTGCTTATAAAGTAAATGTTAAATTAAAGATTAAGTTATGAGCTCGTATGCTAACTTGCCTTCTCACGTAACTACAAATGAAAGTTAAACTCTCTAATAACTAGGGCAACTCTCAGGCAGATAGAATTAGTGTTGCAGTACTTTTAGCAGTAACTGGCTATACTTTCTCACGTAACTTAGATACTTGTTCGTTATTTAAACTCACTTAATTTGCATTTCTGGAGGAGGCAATAGAAACCAGATTTGCAGGATATATTTAACATAAGGAATTACGTATTGATTAAAATAAACCCTGCATCCATCTTATCAAAATTTAGCTAATTTGGAAACGACGGTCCTAAATGACGTTGATAGAGAAATACTAATTCTAACTACTCCAAAAGAGCCAGACTTCACAGAAATGTATTTTTAATAGCAACATTTCAGCTTTTGGATTTCAGTTATTTCCTTTCAGATTTCTTGGAAGTATCTGTAAAATCTTTGAACATTTTATAATAGCAAGATATTCCTGAAAAAGATACTAATTACTTTCAAACTCGATTCTTGCGACAACGTTATAGTTCCTTTAAGTCTTAATGTGCTCTTCGATTTCATTATTCATTGCAATTATGTGATGTAAGTAAATAAACATAAATTCTTCCAATGTTCGTCTTCAAATAATATCTATGTTCCGCAGAAATATTGCAGGAGCTCCAAACGGTCCAAATTGCAACCGAAAGAAAGCACATATACCTAACTTTGTAATGAATGCCCGTCTTACTAACATCTTCAAGCCTCGTTAAATTTGAAAGTAACTTAAGATATCTGAAGTGTTTTTTTTATTTAGTAGATCAAATTATCCTTATGATTTTCTAAGGAACTAGTAGAGAGATTGCCAGATATTTTGCGGTATTCCTAAGTTTTCTATAACATGCTGCCAAACGCCATGCCTTATGGTGGGAGATTCATTTTCTGTCTTTCTACATAACAGAGCAGGGCTGACTGACTACTTACAGGAATATTATCTTATTTTCTAACATGTATTGAATGTGTTGCGCAATTAATGTTTCTTTAACCATACTATAGCGATAATGCTTAACCTTACTTTGGAACTTCTTACCCATATCTGTTTCACAAGTCACTGCGTGAATCCAGCCCGGAATTTCATCAAACAGTGCTGAAATACAAACTTACTACCTTGTTATTCATCATTTCTTTCTCAGCCGCTGGCAGACGTTAACAAAAGGCGTTGAATAGAGTGTTTTAGTCTTTAAGGACTTCCTTATGAGCTATAGTCCTATATGTCCTTATACAAATGACGAGTTATTTAATGAAATCTTTTGTTTCAGGTATCATGGAAAGAAATTTCCGGACTACGTGGTTTTTGACTCCTCTGTTTGTCATCATAAAATTCTCACTTATTACAGCGGGAGAAAATAACTTCAATAGTCATAAAGTGCATGGTATAAGCAATATACCTTGGAATATATTACTGGATCCAAATTACACAAGTCATAAAATTTCTTCAGAAAATCAAACTTACCGGCCTCCTCATCGATTAGAATATTCATCATCCACTGGTTTCACCCATCATCCTCATCACAGTTATGGGGTCACAGAATATTCAGCAAATCCTCTAGCATATTATGTTCCAGCTCCAACAACTCATCATCCTCAAGATCAAACAACAGTAAAGTACTCAATCCCTTACTTAAATTCAGAGATAAAGAAGCAAAGAGTACGAGATCATCACTACAGTTTACCAATAGCATCTAAACGACCTGTGGAAAAAGTTGTATTCCCCCAGGACTCGGAATACGAAAATAGTAGACCAGACAATACTCAGAATTATGTTTCAGGATCACGAATTAAAAATAAAACAGGAAATAATGAAAATGAAACCAAGAAACACAAAAAGAGGTAAGGTAGCTTTTTTTTTACAATATTTCCGTTATGTATAAATATTAATCAATAAAATTTGTTTCTTTACACATAAGCATCGGTTAATGAAATAAGTTTTAGTTTTGACAATAAAATTTTGTACAATACAAAATGAAATTTTAAATATATCTAAAGTGCAATAAATATTAAATCGTGTAAAATTATAGAATGCTTCATTATTTATAAATACTAAACCATTTACAGACTAAATTACTCGTACTTTTAGAATTTGTGCTTTAAAGATGATTTTCCATCATTTTTTGTTCATTCATTAGTTTACTCCATAAATCTGTCTGAATATTTTTTCAAAATATTGCTTTTCTCGAGATCATTTCAATAAGCATCTACATAACTAGGATGATGTCAAACCGATGAAGGTAATTAGTCTCAGGTGATAAACAGTAAAGATTCAGGAGACAAATTAAAAATCTCTTAAATCCCCGTGAGAACAAACATTTAGGTCCTTCACATTTAAAAGCTAAATGCACAAATACAAAGCAATAAAATAAACAGTTTTTCTGCATATAATTAAAAGAAAATTGTCTTACTTAATTAATTACAGAATACGTATTGGTTTTCGAAATAAACAGTAACCTTTCTTTGTGAAAGCTTTCTATTGTTTTATCGCTTCTTGACAAATTGCAAGGAAATAAAAATGAATGTTTCCCATGTGGGAAATAAAGATCCTTGAATACTACTTTTCATCGGAAAGGAAGTATTCTTGGGCACTATTTTGCATTAAAAGCTTTTTAATGCCAGTGGTCGTTCGTTAGATAATTAGCAGATCTACACATTCAAATTATTTCAGAAACATGTAACAAAATTCTCAATGCCAATTAGTTAACAGCATAGAATAGCTGAATTATTAAAATAATTTGTTTGGTGAACTAATATCGTTTAAAATAATATTTTAAATTACGTTCATTAAAATTATTTCAAGATTATCGAATTTTAATAATAATATTTTTCAAATATATTTTCAACCAATAAAGTCTCGGGTTTCGGATGGGATTCAAATTTCTTCAGGCATAAACAGGAATACTGCAGTTCTCCTATTGAAGCTCGGGACTAGTCTTCTCGTAATATTTACGTGAATGCACCAACATAGGAACTTGATTGAAATGAAGGAACATTCTAGTTCATAAGCTTAAATAAAACAGTTCATTTTTATCAATATCAACTTAATTAACATTGAACATGTTGATGTATTTGTATTCTTCGACAGCAAGATTTCAGCATAATTAAGTTTTCATAAAAATATCTTTTAATTCTTTTTATAGTTTAAATCCAATTATACTAAATAAAGTGTGAATGAAATGTATTCACCATATGTTTGGCATATCCTAATCTTTTATGTTATGCGCCATAAAAATCAGCACTCAATTATTCCTCCAATTGAAGGTGAATGTCTGCCACTGCTTCGAAATTAAAAGCAGAAATTTGACGCTATTCGTGCCACAAAAATTCATTCCGCGAAAAACGAAGCTTAAATGCGTTTGTTTCTTGAAGGTAGGAATCGCTGCCCTCTCTAAATCGATTTAACTCTTCGATTTAACTCTTGCAAGAATTCTCTTAGCAAAGACGATACTTTATGATCATGTAAACCAAACCATGGTTAGTTCTTGTTCCTGATTTTTAGAACATTTATGATCATTAAGTTTGAAACTTTGTGGGATCTGTGCTACAGCTTGCGAAGCTCATACATGTTTCAGTGCGCATGTATAATTTGTTTGGGGAACCCAAACCATGGGCTGGTCTCTTTGTTTACTGGAAGTACAGATCAATATTCATGCCTAAAGTTAAGTTGCAGCATTCACTGTTCCTTGCAGAGTAACAAATGGATGTAATGCGTGCTACAGAATTCAACCCAGGCAATTAGGCAGGGTTTTCCAGCTTTTTCAGTAAAAGACACATTTAACTGACCACTTGTCTTCTTGCAACATAAAGATCTAAACGTTTTAATATTATTATTATTACTAGTAGTAGTAGTGTTTCCTTACACTCAGGTTGGGAAGGTTACAGCCGAAAACATCGCGGCAAAAACATCGCGGACGAAAACGTCGCGGAGAAAACAACGCAAGGCGAAAACGTCGTGGTACAAAACATCGTGGAAAAAAACATCGCAAAGAGAAGACATCGCAGTTCTAAAACATCGTGGTACAAATCATCGTCGTCGAAAATAAAGCGGTTCAAAAACTTCGCAGTTTAAAAACATCGTCGTTGAAAATATCGTGGTACAAAATAAAGTATCTACAAATCATCGCATGACGATATCATCGCAGATATGCTTTATTCAGGCTTTAGCATGGCATTTTTACTTTCATACTTTTTATTAACTAATTATTTTTTTCTGAGAAAATAAGAAGGAAACTTAAGCATAGAAAATTAATGCAACTTATAGCACTTAATGGAATTTTAAACTGACATAGTTAACTAACAAAGACCATTAGCAAATCATTTTTTATAAAGTTTTTATTGGTAATGTTTCATGAGAAGTATAATCTATAAGTGCATTTAATTTTCTATGCTTAAGTTTCCTTCTTACTTTTTCAGCAAAAATTTATTAGTTAATAAAAAAATGTGAAGGTAAAAATTATCCTTCTTTACATCTTGCGCTCCCAAATCATTACGGGAATATCCATTTATAATTATTAAAATTTGAGAAAAGCATGTCTGCGATGTTATCGTCATGCGATGATTTGTAGATACTTTATTTTTTACCACGATATTTTCGACGATACAATGTTTTTAAACTGCGAAGTTTATGAACCGCTTTATTTTCGACGACGATGTTTTGTGCCACGATGTTTTAGAACTGCGATGTTTTCTCTTTGCATGTTTTCTCCCACGATGTTTTGTAGCACGACGTTTTCGCCTTGCGTTGTTTTCTCCGCGACGTTTTTGTCCGCGATGTTTTTGCCGCGAAGTTATCGGCGGACACCGGTTGGGAAACACTGTTTAAGGAAATGCAAAACTTTCATAATTGAAAAGTGTGACAAACTGGCACTTCCTATGTCTTTGTAAAATGATGCCATAAAACTTTTAAGATATAAGCAGCTATTTTCTTTCCTTATTGGATTTTTCTGATAGTATCATTTTTTGTCGACTTCCATGACGACATAAATTTAAAGAATATTACTAATGAAGTGATGCACGTCCTAGCAAACAATGGGGTTACCACAAAACACCATTACACAAGCCCCATCGCACCTTATGATTGCTCTGCCCGCATGATGCGTTAAAAAAGACTTTTTTTGGGTCGTGGTTAAAAGTATTTGTCCACGCCTGATTTTAAAATTACTGAGCATTCCCCGTACATAAGTAGTTTGAGATCAGTAATTAATTTTTCAATGCCATCGTCATTTTCATCTTAGGCACCACCAATATCATCAAAGATGCAAGACTTAAGTTAAAATTTATTGTTCCGTATACATACTAAGCTGCCTTCATTACTTTATTAAAGCTTTACTATAGGTAAATTTACATTGTCAGGCGAATTTTTTCCCAAGATTTCAGAAACAAAATTTAAGTATTTACTGCTTCTACTCAAAATAACGATGTGACTTTTGCAACGTTGCTCTTAATAGTAAATGAATCTTTGTTTTATTTTTAATTTACACTAACTATAAAAGCAGTTATTTCAAAATAACACGCAATCTTTATTTCAAATTGTATTTTAACAATGCAGCATGAAATAAAGTTACATATTGCAACAGTTAAATACAATTACGCAAAAAAACAGTAAATATTATGAATATCTGTACAACACTCAATACAGAATAATTGTAAAAAATATAAAGAAAAGGAAGAATGATTCTGTAGTCTTGCATCTAAAGTTTTTGCACATTACGCTAGTTATACAAAAAATACCAAATTAAGCTAAAAGCAATAAATATCATGGACATAATTACAACATTCAATGCACAGGAGTTGTAAAAATATCAAGAAAAGGAAAACCTATTCTGTATTCTTTTACAACTAAAGTTTTAATTAATATTCAATTAAGTGCACACCCCCGCTTGCTCGAATTCCAAAGGCTATCTCATATGCTGCTCTTACCTTTAAAGTTCTAATTAAAAGTCGATTAAATAAGCTTTCTCCTTTCTTATTGAAACTCTTCGCAGTAACTCAATAACTTTTACTGTAAGGGGCGACAAATCAGATGAGGATCCTAGCTAGCCTAAAGCATAAATTTCTTCTGCTCCACACTAACATTATTTAAAATACAAATACAGAAATAAAAATTTTCGTTTTCTCATTTATAGAGATAAATTTTGTATGATGTATATGTATGGAAATATGAGCATAGAAATAAAGATGAAACTATGAAATTAGAAACTATAAAAATAATAGTAAAACTAGAACCGATAAAATTTTCTTATATATATAACAGCTACAACAGTAATTTGTATCATTTTAAGAACAATTTTATGTTACTAAAACATACTGATAGACTTATTAAGTACAAATTTAAATATCTAAATTAGTAAGACTCGACATAATATACTATTCTCAATTTTAAATAAATTGAAACTTATTAACTTATTTACAGATGTTTGCATATTGTATAAATATGTAATCATATAAAGAATGAAACATAAACTAAATGACATTCAATGCATGAAAGCATAGTCTACAGAGATTCTAAACACTTTATTAAGACACTAATATAAAGTTAGGTTAGGTTAGGTTATTTAATTACGGCAAAGCCTCGAGGGATATCTGCCTAAGGGGAAGGATGCCTTCGTGGAGGACTTTCTAAGGGTAACTGGTTCGTATACACGTCACACATGGGGAAAACGAAAACACCCATGCAGCTAGCCCGTTCGCGGGATTCGAACCTCGGACCGAACTACCAGTGTTCAGCGATTTTACCGCTCGGCCGCTGGTGGGCCTAATATAAAGTCTAATACTTAATTATTTTGAAAACGAATGCAGCATGTTTTAAGATAAAAAATCAGTTTTCTGTTTAAGCAAATAACTGTCGCATATAAAGTGTATTTTTAACTGCATGTATAATACTTTGCAGTATTCCTTTGCTGTGTAAACTTCTTCATGTTGGAGAATGTGGTGCTTTATTCAAATTCAATATCTATATCTGTAATTTAATAAAATACCTAATTAATTTCTTTCAATGTATAACTTCATCGTTTTATTTCAATATATGAATGTAATAATTTAAACAAAAAATAACAAAATATTTGCATGGGTTCGAGATTTAATTCTGAGGCAATAAATTAATACTTCCCTACTTGGAAAGACATTTTAATAGTACATACACAAAGTACAGCTATATACACACTTTAAGAAAGCTTTCAACATCTTACATTTTTAGAATTCAACTCTATTGTTGCCAACTCTAACAAGATATAATTCAAATATAAACAGATTAAATATTACTGTTATTTGCTGGTCAGACGATTACTTAATTTTTGCCTATTCCTACATTCGGCCAGCCTAAAGATTCTTTCATCTCGAAAGATGCGCTTTTTCTCCAAATTGGTTTGCGGCTTCGCGCAACAGAGCAGAGTACAGCTTCGGCGGCTTTTTCATTATGTCTTCTCTTTCTCGTCATCAGTACCTATACCATCTTCATCGGCATCCAATCCATATTATCTTCGTCATCATCATTGATATAATCTCCATTTGTATCGTCATTATCATTCACATAATCTCCTTCTTCATCGTGATCATCATTAACATATTCTCTATCTTTAGAGGTCATTTTTATCCATACTGGTTTCATCATCCTCGTTGTTATCATCCGTTCGTCAAATCGAATTGGACATAAGCAGTACTTTTTGTGAAATTTTATGACTTCAGTCTTCGGAATCATTTTAAGTCTTTAGAAATATTTCACATCTTTATGCTTCAGAACCCTTATATGTTTTTATGTTTCAACGCCATATGACACCTTTAGGATTTTCTGTATTAATTAAATCTACTAAAACCACATAATTGCTTCTCATTGTTATCATAAAAAATATGATGTTACTTCTTATTGTTATCTAACTTCTTCGAGTACAATGTGATTTAAAATTTTTGTAGTTTTTGAATGCAGAACAGACATGTAACTAATTTTCTGCAACTGGAATATCTTCTAATTTAAGAGACGTTTTAATAAGATAATAGATAAAAAGTACTTATAAAAATATATTTGCTTCTATATTGAATCCCAAGGCTGCCTTTGAAAGCCAATGAAAATACAGTCTTCTCTTTTAATTTTAAGAACACATGAAGACAAAAATAAAGCTGTTGAAACTTCTGGAAAATTCAAACATTGAACTAAAATTTATTGCTATAGTCGTCTTTTTCACTCGTATAATTTTAAAAGTAACTTTCGTTTTCATACTTTTTCACCTCCACAGTCCCATAATTTGATACTATTCTACTGTGGATTCGAGATGTACTTCTTTGACGGGTGTAATAAATTAATACTTCTGAGTTTGGTAAACCATTTTAATGGATGAAATCACACACGCAAAATACCAATGCACGCACTCTTTAAGAAAACATCCGATATTTTAAAAAGCTCCTCCCTTCAAAAATCACATAATCGCTACAAATTTACCTTTTAAACATTCTGTAAATATCCGAAAATCAGATGAATAGTCTGTGCGACTGTTTTATCCTACAGCGAGAAAATATTATGCTAATAGTATCATATCGTTCTCAAAACAGGCTCTTTCTTAGGTTTGAGCTCGACACTTCTTAAAGTAGCAAGCCAATTTGTTTCTATTTTCTTTTAGTTCAAAGATTTGTCCTGACTCTTCAGTACTGAAAATCACAACGAGACAAGCATTTTATTAATGCTGCTCTCTTTCGGCATTGAAAACAGATCTGTTTACGCACGCTTAAAACAGATCTGTTTACGCACGCTTAAAACAGATCTTGTTTAAAATTCTCTCAACAAGAAACATATCTTGTTTTTCCAACTGGTTGTAAAGATAATGCACTCACACAAATAGCTTTTTTTCACATTTTTTACGCGCAATAAGGAATATTTTCAATACGAAATCAGCATTATATTTATAAAGTAATCAAAGTGACCTCTGTCGATATTTCTGGTATAAACAGCGCGTCCTAAAGTATTATTTGATTTTGTGACTTGTCAGATTTAGTCAAAAAAGCCCACGAACAGTGGCTGTGTCAAACAGTGCGAAATTGCGTCTGTCGTTGGTGTGAGCCTTGGGCACCACACAGGTGACAGTATGATTTTGCCCATTTCCACCCGAATTTGGAGGGACAGCATCCCGAAGATGGGAGCTCCGAGGGTCTTCCCACCCCTCTTCTATCAAATCATACGAGAGAACGTTCCGCTTGCCGTGAATTTAGAGTGCCCCCTGCTGCTAAGATAGTATACATTTACAACATCCATGCTTTCGGGATTCAAACCCGGACCCTTCGTTACGGTAGTAAGAGTTACTAACCACTATCCCGTTAAGCGGCTATTTATTCGTTTTTGCATTTTATATGCTGCATATAAAAGTAGCTTTTCGAATAGTCATGTAATTTATTTCCCAATGTTAAAGCACTTTGGCACATATAAAGACGCAATTTTACTAGTGGTCATTTTTACAGCTTCCTCGGTTACTTAGTTTAATTAGTTTATTGCAGAAAACACAGATGCTTAGTTTTCTTTTACACTTTAATGACTTGCGTCTTCAGTAAAATATAAACATCTTAAGAAATTCTCATTAGCAGCACAGTTCAGTTTACTTCAGAGATTTCTGTCCTAAAAGCTTCATAGAAAAGCATAGTCCTCGAAAAGCAGTTGGAAAATGAAAAAATTATTTCTGTATGATTGCATACATCGATATCGGTACTCAAAAAGGATACAAACCAATCCCCGTTATCTCTGATGTTTATGACCATAAACGTAAATTTAGGTTATCAGAGTAACATCAGATTATCCGAAGTAGTTTAAATTAAACAGCATATTCTACGTTTAGATTATCTGAATTCATTTAAATTGTTAACGTTTTGCGAGCTGCAAGAAGATTATTCAATGTTTTAAATTCAGACATTACAATTACATATATTTCAAAATTATTTAAGTTTTCATCAGGTCTCACTTTTCAACTAATACTTCATACCTTTTTGCTCCAGAACATACTTTTGTTACTATTTAATTCTTAAATGAACATTATTTTTTTAAAGCAATTTTGACAAAAAATGCAAACTGCTGAAGAGAAATTGAAATATTTTAACTCAATATTGAAGGATTGACTGATATAGTACTTATCAGTCCAATTAAATCCTGACAGCAATGGTTAAGGAAGTCCCTAATGACTAAAATAATATCTTCAAATTATTTCAGGTTATAAACTGAAACATTTTCAATTAATAAATGTTTCCCTTACACGCTATTTTAATTCATCTTTTTCAAGCATGTGCTGAATAAGAATGGAAGCAATTATTAAACCAAATAAAAAAAAGCATTCTCTAACGCTCATCACATATTACTTTCTGAAATATTTGATTAAAACGCTTATATTCAAATCTGTGCTTAACAAATATTTCTTTCCATCCTGCAGGAAGCCTGTAGATTACTTTGAAACAGATGATGATGATTATATGGAAAGTTTCTACAATGATTATGATTATGCTGCAGAAAACGAACGAGTGTCTTACAAACCACCTAAGTCATATTCTCGTCCTTCATACTCAGGTTACAAAGCAGTGGGTGATCCCCTTGGTCTTTTACCATCAGCTTCGGACCCAAACGGTTTTTTTGCAAAAGCTAAAGATTTACTTAGAGGTGGAAGCTATAGCAGACCAAGTTATTCAGATAGTACAACTGATTACTACCCAAATTACCAATCCAACAAACATTACGAGGAACCAAATCCATATGGTGCCCAGTCATACTATGATCAAGATCCTGTAGGTAAGGATAATGTAATTTTTCAACATCATGCTAAATAACTTGCACTTTCATGCAGGAACATTTTATTCAAATCATATTTCTAGATATTGTAATTATTTCAAATGTTCATTGATTTTATGATTATATCTACTTTTGTGTCTATTTCTAAATGTTTATTGTACAATGGAGATTGGAAAACTACTGCTCCATATGACTTGCTTCTGTAGTTTAACGACTGCTTTGCAGGAAAATTGTATCAGAAAAATTATTTAATTTATTTATAATTAACAAATTAGCGTGCAGATATATCTCAAGAAAATGAGACCTTGATTTAGGCCATCATATTAAATCTACTGTTGTAATTAACCTTTTAATATAAATTAAAGTTTAGAGTTTCTACTATATCGATGATGAACAGCCACCTGAGGCAAATGGGCTAGAGAAACAGGTAATGAAATTTCGGTGTCCAATCAGCTGAGTGTTTTCCTGTATCTCAGAAGGCTTGTTAAAACGGATGATGAATCCTGAGTTCTATATGATAACATGGTCCTGAAGTGGACTTACGAAACTGCAGAAAGCATGTCACTAATTGTGACTAGGGGCATAGAAGTCTAAGCTCTATCCAAAAAATATTTTGGTATCGATATGGTGATGTCTCAAAGGAGGTCACTTTTTAGAACTACTTCTTATGATCATACAGTAAAATCCACTACATATTTTCGTCTTCTAGAAGAACTGAATCCATTGATTGTAATCATTTACTGAATTATTATTCATTGTAATTCTTAATCCTATTCTTTTGATTTGTCATAATTTTATATTGATATCTATTGTAATGATCAATGTTCAATAATATCTAGAATGTAATACTAATCACCTAAAAATTGTCTTTATTACTGTTTTATAAACTTTATATTATGATCAACTGTACTTTGTAAATTATCTTAAATAAAGATGTTGGCGAGGCCAACACATCTCTTAGTCATAGGACATCAAAATTCATACTAGGTTTTATAAAATTTATGATTCGGCTATAATAAATTTATCTTTGAGCTTATGCTTTGAAATTGTAAAATTCTTCGGCCTATGGCTCTGGTGATACCTCTGCTTAAGAGGTGAGGACCAGATATTCCATCTTCATGTTGTGTTTCCCCGTGACAATGCAGACCTCATGGTTTATCGGGAATGCGTAGAATGCTCTTATAGCTTTAATGAAATGTCCTCCTACACCAACCGTGTTTTCTGGTTTTTCACACTGTACGACTAATTTTGCTCCGGTTCTTAGAAAACTCTTTTCATGAGAAAAGATTTATTTCTCTTGAAGTAAAAGCCTATCTTGCAGACTTGTTTGGCAAATCACCATCTTATTTTTACCAAGGCATTATAAAGCTTCCAAAAATTTGGAGAGTTGTAGTGCAACAGGTTGACACTATGTAGCATAATAAATCAAAGGAACTGTCAAATTTTGAAGAAATTTGTGTTTGTTGCGACCTTTGTACGGAACTTTCCGGACACCCCAATACATCCAAATATATAAATACACACTTTAAAGCCCAGACTCGTTTCGAAGTGACTATACTTTCGTGATGTCCGAAGCGCTTCGAATCTGTTTTGATATTAGTAATAAATGACGCATCCTAGACGTCACTGTATGTCAAAAGGGTTAAACAAGTAGTGTATTGCTTTCAGTTTTCTAGCAAATACGCTTATTATGTCTACATATTTGTAGGTGTTTCCCTGTCTGATCATTAATATGCTAGCAAGAAAATACTCGTTTAGAATTTAGGAAAATAAATTCCAAAGAAAACATTTTATCAAAATGCTTTTTGAAACGTTATCAAACCTGCTAAAAATTTCAATCATTATTAAATAAATCCTACTAATTCTAATGTTGTTACTCTAAAAGCTAAGTTGCTACTGTTTTAGTTATTACGCATAATCATACAAGAACAAAATTAAATGCAATCGTACATATCAATAAATATTTTTGTACTTACACTATAAAATCTTCAGTATCTATAATTACTTTTCTACAAAAGTGATATTAAAAATTAAATTCGTTGCATATCTAGTACCCATCTTAACTTTCGTTTTTTGACATTCTATTGGATCTGCCACCACTAAGCAATAACGCTCTAGTCTTATACATTTGCTGGCCCTGACTCTTAATGTATTTAAACCCTAGAAAATGATTCTATGAGCAAAACAGAATTTTACGTAAGATTTAATTTCGCTGTACAACACAATGTATAGCAAGGATAGAATTTGGGGCTGAAACGGCGGACATATGAAGGTAACAGTAAATAAATTGCTCACTAAAAATTACAGATATTTGAAACCAGAAAAGATAAAGTCATTTTGTATATTTATGTATTTAAACGTATAATGTTTGACATTATAATTTTCGTATAAATCTTGCATACAGAGATTTGTACGAACTCTTTCATTTTCCTACGCATCTCTAAACAAGGAATGGGCAAATTCTTTTAAGCATGGGCGAAGCCGAAACGGTCATTTTTAGTGTATCATGAGAGCGGGACCTTCGCAAGGTGAGATGGTGCTTCTATGATTATCTATTCTGGTGGCCCTGTTGTTTTCCAGGACACGATGGGATGGAAAAGAACAACCCTTCTCAATAGAATGTTTTTAAATTAACAATATTACAATTTAAAATAGTATTTTATGAACATAATTTCACTTTTCTGACTTTAAATATGCCTAAGCGGTGAACACGGTGCCACGATGCCCCCACTTGTTTCCCATTCTTCAGGTCAGCGGTAATTCATTATTTTATTGCTTTTCTTAGAGAAAGAGGGTGTACGGTTGCGTTACTGGCAATTTACACCAAATACGCCAAAAACGAGATGTGTTCCTATTGGTCACCAAGTGATTGACATGTACACTGTTTAGTTTCTAAATGCAAATTTAGGGATGAAACCTTTTTTCTCTATGCTCCGTTTTCTGATCAATCTTTCTGTCTCAAACATATTTATGTTTAACTGTTTCATTTTTATATAACAGCTGGTATAAATGGTATAATTGTAGTCTTCGGCGGATGCATATGCTTTCTAGTATACCTAGTGTTCTCGGCTTAGGCTGAACGCTAGTACAGCCTTGTGTATTTATGCGTATATACACTGTAATAATAGATGCGCACTCCATAATTTGCGAACAATCCTGGGTAAGAAAGAAATTAAATGTCGCGACACAAGATTTAATAACGGATCGGATTAAGCAATTTAAAGAGAAGTATTCTATTCACAAACCATCTTTTCCCAACCTCTCTGTACACCTATGCTAGGAAAACTTGTAATATCGAGAAACATATCAATATTACTCGATTCAGAGGTACTGATAAAAGTGAAATAATAAGATTAATATAAGCAGCAAAGGTTTCCACACCTTCAACCTTCATTGCTTTAGCTCAGGTTTTGCATTAGCAGTCAGCCATTGGTACCTTTATCTCCAACATACGTTTTCTTTTCCATGTGATGGATATTTAACAATGTCAAAATTACTGATTAATGTCCGTCTGTTGAAATATTGAAGTCATGGCAGCAGTATCTTTATTAAAACCTCTCACTTTGAAACTACAACAAAGCAACGCAACCCTGACACTTGTTCTGTCTTCAAGCGAGTTAATTGCGATTAATGTGGGGCTTGATGCCATCTTGGCTTATGATTGTGATTTTGGGGAACTATGGATTTCATCTGACAGCCGCAGTGCACTGCAACATCTTAGTGGCTGTCGTCCGCATGCGATGAAACCAGCATATCTATTCTCCTCAAATTGAGGAAGATCTCTCAGAACCACGACATCCACCTCCAGTGAATCCCATCACATGTTAATATTAGTGGTAATGAGGTCACTGATAAAATGGCAAAAGAGGATAGTGAAGATGAAATGTTCACTGGCTCCACGCTTACTTACCAAGAACTTTACTCAAAGGAAAGATTTAAACTTAATATAATATGGCGTATTCCACCTACGCACCAATGGTTCATAGGAACATGTCCTGGCTCCGTACTGGAAATCAAATGTAACCGTGGCTCCCAAACCACTCTGGCTGGACTAACAAAACACCACCTTAAATGTCTTTAATTTGATAGTGGCAGAAAAATCCACCCCACTTGTAAAACATGCTGTGACCATCCAGCTTCACCTGATCACATACTGGGCTGCATCGGAATTTCTAAGGAGGACTTAACATCCGATCCCCTCACTGTTATTGATTTTTTGACGGTCAACAACCTTCTGGAGCTGATCTGACATGTGTCAGATCTTTCGAGGATAAGCAACAACAACAACAATATTGAAGTCAGCAAATTTGACTAATCGAATGTTTGATAATTTTAACAAAGCAGTTCCATTTCTAATAATCCCTACTTTTAATAACTAATTACACTAAATGGAGGCCACACATTGTTCGATTAAATGCTCATATATTCAGACGGTATCCTTTACAACGCTTGAAAGTCCCATAGCAGGATAATTAGACATTAACTTTGCCAGTCATTTGCTTTCTTAATTGACTAATAAGAGGATGAAACTCTATGAAACCTCTGGAACCTATGAAACTTATGCACGACATAAGAATGCAAGATCATGGTTGATCGCATGCTATCTTGCTTTAACAGCTGAACACTAAATTGTAACAACGTTTTCACGTGAGCTCTTTCCTAAAGCATAGAATGAGACAGCTTATGTTTTCAATAAATATCTGATATTGATTTTGACCCCGAATTTAAAAAGTATAAAATAAAGGATTATTAGTGAATATATTTAGTGAATTTATTAACTTGAAATAGATTATTATAACAGAAATGACTTTGTAATAATGGAAGTGAAATCTTTTATCGTGTTCCTGATAATATGAATACTGATTACTGATTGAAAAAAATACAGTCGATACCTTTACGATACTTCACAGAGCTGTTGATTATAGTTTTTGATCTATCTATTGTAAAGCTAGATGTTATCATGCTAAGATCGGGCTTAGAAAATGTCAAAAATTAAAAGA